TTCCCTTTGACCCGGGTCTCACCAGTGGCAGCAGCAGGCCAGGTACGATGGGGAGGCCCATGTCGGGCCGGCTGTGGGCTTCACTCCCCCATTGGGGCTCGGGGCGACGGCGGCGGCGGCGGTGGTGGCGGCGCCAGCGGCGCGGCAGCGACCGGAGTCGCACGGGTCTGACCAGGAGGTCCCCAGCGCCGTCTGGGCCCTGGGGTGAGGGTGGGGGTTGAGCGTTGAAACTTGGGGCAGGATATCACAACCCGGGACCAGGGACCTTGAACCCGGGAGGCCAGAAATGGAGCCTGAATCTCAAGAACTTACAGGAGAAAATTAAAGCCGAGAGGAGAGAGAGGTGGGAGGGGAAGGGAGAGTGGCGGGCGGTGTTGCAACAGGGACAGGAAGAGCCCGGGGAGGAGGCGGGGGTGGAGGGTGGAGGGGGCCAAGGTTCTTTAACGCTTTGCAGCCCAGTCAGAGGCACCAGAGCCCCAGATCCCGCGGCCTGGCACCCTGGGCCCACCCATCCACCCACTCGCAACCAAACCCCAAGGTGCACTGACACCACCCCCTCCCCAGCCGCCCCCGGCCCTGGCCTTTCTCAGCTACGAATGGGAAGACCTATGATTTTGGAGCCAAATTGTCAAAATGACTAAGTTCAGTTCAGAACCCACTACTTTTTAGCTAGGTGATTTTAAACACAGGATCTAACCTCTCTGAGCCTGTTTTTTGATTTGCAAGGCCAGGACAGCCTATCTCCCACGGTTCCTGTATGGATTTACTGAAACAATACACAAACGTCTGACTGTGGGAAGTACTCAGTGTTTCTTAGTGGCCCTCCCCTTTACCCTGGAGTTCCCACTGGCATTCTATTCCCCCTCTCTGGTGGGAGTTTGCCCATCCAATACTCAAAGTCAATTCTCATCTTAGTTTTCTGCCCTAATTGGGACCTTAACCCTTGGCCCCCACCCTCTCGCTCTTAACCAGTTTTCACCTGACAGGTGCCCCCAGCTGTTGATCCCAGCTCTGCCACCAACTGTGGGACATCAGGCAACCCTGCTCCTGAGCTTTGATTGGTTCCTCTTATTAAAGGGGATAAAGTGTCTGCCCACCTACAAGGGGAAATGAGGCCATGAAGATCAATGAGACTATTTGTGAAGATGCTTTGGATATTTGGGTATCTCCAGGAGATATCAAAAGTCCATTTCCAACACCCTTTTCCCAAATATTTTGTCACATCCATCAGAACTGACCCTAGAAACAGAATTTATGGCAACCCCCTGACTCTCTAGAAGAGAAGAGTGAGGGCCAGAGATACATAGCATTTAGAGGCAGAGAACCCCCAATTCTTARTTTGCAAACAAAGGGCCCCCTTTGTCTATGAGAGACACAGTGCCACTTTTCCCAATGTCCCCTTGGGGTTTATTTTTGTTTGTCCTTTGGGGTCTTTTTTTTTTTCTTCCTTTCTTGTTTGTTTTGTTGTCAGGGTCCCTCTCAGTCCCCATATCCTGTCATCCTCTGTTAATGTAAAATACTATCCCAGTTTAGGCAGGGCTTCTCCCAAGCAAATTCTATACCCTGAGTACAATATTGACTCAAATGCCCACGGAATACAATGCCTTCCCCCATAGGCTAAGTCTTTCAGGTGCTGAGGCTGTAGAAAACACAGGGGGACCAGAAAGTGCTGTCCCGGGGCTTTATGATGTAAAGCTAGAGCTCCCTGCCTCTTCTCCCTTTGATCCACCAGCTGACCTTCCAGCCCCAAGCCCTCCTGCCTTAGCTTTTCCTGCCTCTGGTTTTCTTGCCTCTGCCATCCTAACCCTAAAGGCAGGGCATCTGTAAATGGGAATGGAGGGTTTAGGTGCCCCCACTGGTGGTGGGACTGACTTTACCCTGTCCTCCAGCTTCTGGAGAACTAGTAGGTTGAAAGTGGACTCACAGAGGAAGGGTTCACCATCAACATACAAAAAGTCCAGGTACAGTAGGAGTGAGGCCCAAGCAGAGCTTTGGAAGAAAACAAGTTCATTAGAATGTAGTGCAAGGTACATGATCAGTGTAACTCCACATGATGTACAACCACAAGAATGGAAGAATGTGCATGTATGAATAATATGTCAAAACACATTGTGCTGTCATGTGTGATTAAAAAGAACAAATAAAAAAGAAAAGAATGTAGTGCAAGGGTCAGACTGGCCACTTTCCATTGTGAAGAAACCAGGAGAGCCTCAGGCTCCTCATCCCTAAAATGAATGTGAGGCTTGGGGATGTAGCCTAGTGGAGAGCCTGCTTAGCATGTGTAAAGCCCTGGTCTGAAGCCCCAGGGGGGGGGGGGGGGGGGGGGGGGAGTTAAATAAATGAGAAACTCACTAATACCTCTCACAGAGTTGATTTTATGATTAAATGCATATAAAGTGTTTAGCAAGTGTTTGCCATACATTAAGCATTTTATAAGTGGTGGCAATATTAATAGTTCATATTAAAATTAATGACAACATCAATGTCCCCTTTTTAATATTACAAAGACTCTCAATAGTCTGTACAAACTGCCAAAGCCATTAACACAAAGCTTGGCACAAAAGGTGAATTTCTTTCATGATTTAGGATAATTGTTGCTTTACTCATTAAGTTTAAACCCTTGGCACATGTGATACTGAATTATTCAATAAAATTCTATTAAAAAGAAGAAGAAAAGATGGTGAGCAATGGGTGGATCTAGGGCTATGAAAACTTAGCTAGTTTAATGGAGGAGGTGAAAGTGAGACTGTGATCCTTTCGGGGGTAGAAACAATAATGGTGGGTGAAGTGGGAAAGAAATGAAAAAACAGAACGGGGGATGACAGAGTCCGAGTCAGGTTTATTGAGACAAAGGAGGAAGAAAAGAAAGAGCTTCAGATAGCAGAGATGCCCCTCCCCTATCACGTCTCACGTGCACCCACACACAAACACACACATACGTAACCCAAAAGGGCACTGAACTCTGAGTGACGTGGGTTCTAGCTCCACCTCTGTCATTCGGGACTTCATCCTATCACGGGGAGGCAGGGTGAGTCATAGAAAGAGACCTGAGTTCCAGGCTAACTCTGTAAAAATTATAAACCTGGGGAAATCACTGTACCCACTAAGCCCAATCAGGAAAAGGAGGCCATTTAATCACTTTTTTCTCTAACACCCTGATGCCAACTCTTAGGACGAGATAGAGATGAGGAAAGACCTCAGGGAGGAAGTACAGGCAGGCAAGGAGAAACTGGAGCATGGTAGGGATTGCACCATCTACAATCGATCCAGCTTAGTCCAGTAGGTGCTCCCTCCCCAGCCAGAGGAGAGGGCACTGGGCACGGGGTGGGACAAGGCGGAGACCAAGACTATGGTAGAGAGAAGATAAGAGCAGAAGCTACCTGAGGACTCTGACCGTGGAAACTATCAGGACAGCACCATTTCCCCCTCATCAGCCTGAATCTAGGAAAGGGAAGTCAGAAGTCGCCACGTCATTTTGGCTCATGACCCTTCCTATGTCCCCACTCCCTTTACCAACTCCTCCTCTTTCCTCAAGATCCTTTTTGCCTCTGGATCCTCAGGACAGACTGTAAATAACAGGAATAAAACCAAGGCCACAGGGGAAGTATCCCAAAGATAATGAAAAAGGGGTTACTTCTGGGTTCTAGATCTGATGCTGGAGGGGTAGAAGGACTGGGATCAGACAAATAGGGTTCTACCCAGATACCCCTCAGCCTCTCCTTGGATCTCAATTTCTCCTTCATTGAAACGAGAATGATTTTTCTCTGCTCTTCTCTATGATGAAACGTGAGTAAGACTAAATAGAGCTCTGAGGTTTCAGAAGAAACTGGCCTGCGTCTCATCCTTTTCCACTGCTTAGGCAGTTGATGGGCAGGAGGTCAGATGAGGGTTATACTGTGGCTGGGTGGTGACTGGTACTTAGCAATGGAGCGGAGAGTTAATGATGATGGTGACTAAAGTTGGAAAGGAAAGGGAGGTTCAGACCTTGCAGAGAGCAGAGTCTTACCAATCACTGCAGAACACCAAGTCTTCCCCCTCCACCTTAATATGGTGATGGGCACATAGCAATCCTCTGCCACACCTGTGAATGAACTCATAAGATAGTTTCTCTCCTGTAAGGCACCCGAAGAATGATCTCTTCCACGGTGAGCCAGAGGGCACGGTAGTCTCTCTGGGCCCTCTTTGCCCCAGGACCTCCCAGAAGAGTGGGCACTGACTTTGCGACTTGTGTCCACTCCCTACCCTCTTCTTAGGGCCCCATCCAACTCAGCAGACATTGCTTTATGCAACAAACATTTATTGAGAACCTGCCTACTTGCTCCAAGTGGGACACTGGGCTAGATCTGGAGAATATAGAAATGACCACAAGGAGCTCACAGTCTAGTCRGGGAGGCAGACACAGGTGAACACAAAAGTCTAATGCAACATCAGCAATCCAGAAGATGTTATAGTGGGCCATGGGAGTCCAAAGGAGAGTGGGTAATCAATTCTGGGAAGACAAGATGGGGCAGAAGCCTTCAAGGAAGTAATGGTATCTGAAAGGGTTCTAAAGGATGCATAGTCCTCCAGATTGGTGAGGCAAGTGTCCAGGCTGAGGAAATAGCTTGAGCAGTCGCGCAGGGGAATGAAGGACACAGGGCAGAGGCACTGGGGCATCTCTGCAGGGGTGTGGAGTATGAGACTAGAAGCGTCTTGGGAATGACTGGGAATGACCAAACCTTTCTACACTGGTCTGCTCAAGCTCCTGCCCTAAAGTCAGTGAAGGGGAATTGCCCAAGAGCTAACAAAGGGGGCTTTCGGGTGGGGTTTCCCACCCAAGTTCAAGAAAAGGAGCAGACATCTGTATCACTGGATGGCAGTGTGGCCAGGCCAGCCTGGGGCTGGCTTTGGTCACTGTGGGTAGGAAACCTGGATATGCCTTTGTATGTCCTTGTTTGTGTTTTGTCCTGGTTGTTGGTCGTTTCCTAGGAAAGTTCCTTGGCAAAACTCCAAGTTTAGCTTGGCTGATCCAAGGGAAAAGGAGACTTGTTTGCACTTGTGTGGAAATCAGAGTGTTCAAAGGCAGGACCGAGGTTGCAGGGCAGGACCAAAGCAGTTCTGGGTGGCTTCATTGGCCGCTGTTCTCTGGGCAACTTCCTGGACCCCTTACCCATCCTGCTTCCCTCCCCCACACCAAAGGCAGTGAGAAGCTTTGAGAGGAAGCCCCAAACATCTTTTAACCTTGCCGAGGCTGGGCCCCTCCCACAGGGGAGCGCAGGCCTTGGTGGGAGAAACACTCTAGGCTCAGTTCCCTATCAGAGCTCTCCCAGGGCGCAGGCAGAGGAGCTGGCCCCTGCTGAGCTCAAGGGAGATGGACAGGGACCTAGGGTGGCATAAGCAGGTGGAGGGGCTGTCAAGGCCAAGGAGGGAGTAGGGCCTGGTTGAGGCAAGGATGGGGATGTAGGGTGAGGACAGAAGCGGGAGGGAAGGGAGGAAGGTGGAGTGGAGGCCACCTCCCTTGCACTCCTGGCCCCTCGTCCTGGAGACCAGTATCGGCTTCGGAACCTGCGCAGCAGCATGAGGAATGTGATGACCAGGAGGTCAAAGATGAGCTCGGCCATCTCCACCACAGACAGCACTGAGGAGCCAAACCACAGGCTCCACTGGCTGCCCAGGTTRGACAGGAGGGTGACCATCTGTGAGGGGAGAGAGGTACACTGACCACGGGGCAGAGGGTGGGCTCAGACAGAGGAGCCCCCTCCTCACTTACCAAGCCATCTCCCTTCTTGCCTGAGGACCCCAGCTATCCCCTCAGACCTTCCATGTCCCCCTGCTGCTGTTCTTCCCCCTTAGGAACACAAAGCTCCTGACTGGTATCACCCAGGAAAACTGGTAATGAGGCCAGTGGCAACTGGGGTGTGTCTCAAGGGCCTTCTCCCCATCATCTGACATACATGTACCTTCCACCAGCTCAAACCTCAAACCCCAACTCTCGCTCCCCTCCTTCCAACCCTCTCAACCTCACCCTTGACCCCACATCCATTTTCCTTGGTCCCCTACATTCAAGGCTGAAACTCTTCTGGCCCCCACAGAAGGAAAACCACCCTGCCAAGACCCCCCCAAGAGAATTACAGGGTCTGTGAGGCAGGCCATACCGTGACAGAGGGAGATTCAGAATTGGTCTTGTAGTTCAGCTCCTTGAAGAAGATGTTGAGTTTAGCAACTCCACTTCTTTGGAGTGGGAGATAGGTGGGAAGAAATATTAGAGGATTAAGTTCTTGAACCCTCTTCTAAACAACTGAATCAATTCCTCTTCCCAGATCTGGTTTCCCTCCCAGGGATTCCTATCCTATAGCTAAGACCAGGGCAGGACTCACCTTCTGTTGTTGATGGGGTAATTGTTCTGTAGGGACAGCATCTGGAAAATCCAGTCCTGGGAAAGAACAGAAGTGTGAAGGAATTCATCCCTGTATTCCTCAGGTGCAGAGGAGTGGGATCAGGTCAAGCACACCAACACCCAGAGAAGGTCACAGAGTTACCCTCGMATGGGCACATTCAGGTGTGCAAGTCCCCCAATCCCTCCCTTCCCCACTTTACCTGGGATTTCACTGAGGGCCATCGAGAGTAACCAGCAGACAGCTTGTAATTGGTCACACTGAAGATGGAGAAAGGTGCTTAGTGATGGAGTAGGGCTCTCCCACTCCAAAGCTAGCTGGTTACCTTGTATCCTACCCAGCCAAGCAGCCTGTTGCCCAACCTGTGCCTGGGGGCAGGGGACACTCACCTGCATGGCTTCCTGCACTTGGTGAAACAGCCCAGGCTGTCTGTAGAGAAGGCTCCCAGGAGCTTATAGTAGCAGTAGCCTATGGGTATAGCAAAGTGCCTGTTTCCTGAGGGCACCTTGACCTTCTCCACCCCACACCCAAGAGTTCTCCCCTCAGAACTGGGCAGCCAATTTACAAGAGTTTTTTGCAACATTACAATGATGCCTATGAGTAGCAGCAACAATAAATGTTTATGAGCTGGGTGCAGTGCCACATGCCTGTACTCCCAGTGGCTCGGGAAGCTGAGGCAGGAGGATCACAAATGCAAAGCCAGCCTCAGCAAAAGCAAGGCGCTAAGCAACTCAGCAAGACCCTGTGTCTAAATAAAATACAAAATAGGGCTGAGGATGTGGCTCAGTGGTTGAGTGCCCCTGAGTTCAATTCCTAGTTCAAAAAAAAAAAAAAAGTATGAACAAACTAAGTCGGGGCAAAATATAAAGGTGTGTTCAATATGGACAGAAATCTAAAAGTCACAAAGAAAAATAGGAACAATTGTTTAAGAATAATGATGTGAAGCCACAAAAAGATATTACTCTATAGCCACTAGGATGGTTACTATTTAAAAAAAAATAAAATAAAAAAGGAAAAGACAAGGACAAGTACTGGTAAGGATGTAGAGAATCTGGAAACCTCATTTACTTCTTCTGGGAATATAAAATTGTGCAGCCATCTTGGAAAAGAGTGATAGCTTCCCAAAAAGWTTAAACAGTTACCACCAAATCTAAGCAATCTCCTAGGTATATACCTAAGAGAACTGAAAATGCACATCCACACACATTGTACACAAATGTTCATAGCAACACTATTCACAAAACCAAAAAGTAAAAATAACCTAGATTTCCATCAACAGATAAGAAAATAAACAAAATGTAGTATACCCACACTATGGAATATCAATCATAAAAAAGAATGGAAGTGCTGATATGTGCTACAACATAGACTTTGAAAATGTTAAGATTAAGTGAAAAAAGTCACTCACAAAGACCATGTGTTGTTATAAGTTTCCATCTATATGAAGTGTCCAAAGCAGGCAAAGGTATAGAGACAAAAAGATTAGTGTTGTCCAGGGACTGACAATGAAGGGTAAGAAATTTGAGGACTGCTACCTARTATAAAAAGTTTCTTTTGGGAGTGATGAAAAGATTATAAAATTGATAGTGGTGATGTTACACAACCCTGAGACTACCAAAAACCTAAAACTTGTACTAAAATAAAAACTTATACTTTATTTATTTATTTTGGTGCCAAGGATTGAACCCAGGGGCACTTAACCACTGAGCCACATCCCCAACACTTTTTAATATTTTATTTAGAGACAGGGTCTTGCTAAATTGCTTAGAACCTCACTAAGTTGCTGAGGCTGACTTTGAATTCACAATCCTCCTGTCTCAGCCTCCTGAGTTACTAGRATTATAGGCTGTGCCACTGCAAAACCATAAACTTTATTATGTTTTTTGGGGAGGGGTACCAGGGATTACACTCAGGGGGACTCAACCACCGATCCACACCCCCAGCCGTATTTCATATTTTATTTAGAGACACTGAGTTGCTAGGCTGGCTTTGAACTTGAGATCCTCCCATCTCGGCCTCCCTTGCCGCTGGGATTACAGGCATGTGCCACCGCGCCTGACGAAAACCATATACTTTAAATGAGTGAATTGTATGAGATATGAATTATCTCAATAAAGCAATTACCACAAGAAGAGCAGGAGGAAGAGGAAAACAAGAAGAAGGAGGAGGAGCAGAAAGAGGAAAAAAGGACTATGGAGTCCTCTACCAGCATCTGCCAAGTTCTAAGTAAGGTTATTCTGTCATCATCGCTACTTTTAGTCACTTAATTCAAAATCGAACTTCATCTCTGCCCCAAATCGCCAGAGCTGGAATCTTACATTAGGAAGACTGAGAAGCAACTGGGCCTTTTTCTCTGGGGACTAAGTCTTAGGAAACACATCAAACTGTTTTTAGCCTTAGTTCCTCTCCCTCATCCTCACAACTTCTCAGCAATCAATATTGTTATTTTTTGCTCAAAGATCCTCAAAATCACAGCAATTTAGAAAAAATTATTTGGGGGCAGGGAGGAAGGGAGGGCCAACTCCCACTGCTCTTTATATCCTGGGAGGCACCATGCCTTCCCTCTGGGCCTTCCTTTGCCTATCTGAGAACAGAGGTGACATCAGATGGCCTCCGAGTTTCCCTCAGGTCATGATGTGTTCCCGTCTTTCCAAGGTCCCAGCCACACCTGAAAGGAACTGTCACGGGAAGAGAAGGATACAGAAGACACAGGCAAGAAAAGAGGCAGAAGCCAGGCACGGGGGCACATGCCGGTCATCTCAGTTACGTGGGGGGCTGAGGCAGGAGGATCACAAATCGAAGCCAGCCTAAGCAACTTAGGGAGGCCCTGTAGCAAAAAATTTAAAAATGGCTGGAAATTTAGGTCGGCGATAGAGCACCCCTGGGTTCAATCCCTAATATTGGAAAAAAAAAGGAAAGGTGGGGAGGGAGAAGGTGGGGAGAAAAGAGAAGAGGGCTGAAAAATCACCACTGACAGAATGSAGGCAGGGCTGGACTCTAAATTCTGGGTGAGATGATCAGCTCCTGGCATGGCCTCTGTGCCTGTTGTACCTGTTCCCATGTCCCTCAGCCTACCTCCTTGCCCATAAAGCCCTGGGAGGAAGAGGAGGGTGGAACAGGATAGCTGTGCCAGATGAAAGCCTGTGTAGCAGGAACACAGAAACATGACCCCTCAGAGCATCTATGGGGTGTGTGCGTATTTTTTTTATATATATATTCTGGGGATTGAACCCAGGGGTGCTTTATTACTGAGCCACATCCCCAGCCATTTTTATTTTTTATTTTGAGACAGGTCTCACTGAGTTGCTGAGGCTGGCCTTCAACTTGCAATCCTCCTACCTCAGCCTCCCAAGTCACTGGGATAACAGGTGTGCACCACAGCACCCAGTTGCCATGGTTTCTTGCTGGGACCGTCTTTCTCATCTTCCTAACACACAGTTTCCCTGCTGAACAGTTCAGCAGTAATAGAGAGGAGAAGAATTTGTCAACTCCTAAATCAGGATAAGGAGGAAAGGCCAGGAGTCTCCAAACTTGTTTGATTGTGCCCTCTTCCAGGTTAAAAAAAAAWATATATACACACACACACACACACACACATCCAAAATAAGCAAGTCCGAGATATGTTTTTGATTTACAAATTACATAGCTGAACTACTGGATGGATATAGTATGTACATTCTAAAATGTATGTATCATGGAAAATGTGGAGAAATGAGACAGACACATATGACTTCTAACATTTTCTTCCTGGGCCCCAGAGTTGTCCTGTGCCCCACCCAGCTCCCCTGGAGCCAGTCCTGCTCAGCACCCTGTGAATGCCATGCTCCACAGGTACGAGATGGAGCCGCAGCAGGAGAGCGGGGAAGGGGTTGAGGGACATGTGCTCTTTCTTCCTTCTGCTGCAGCTTATTTTTAAATGGGGGCAATTCCTTAACAAATACACAAAAGCAGAGACAGAGAGCCAACAGGGAGGAACAGAAATAAAGGAAATAGAGGGGTTGGAGGGGAAGGGAGGGGGCATGGGGTAATTAATGGTGGTTGAATGTGATGATCATTATTATCCAAAGTACAGGTATGGAGACATGAATTGGTGTGAGTATACTTTGTATACAACCAGCGATAAGAAAAAGTGTGGTGTATATGTGTAATAAGAATTGTAATACATTCTGCTGTCATATATAAATAAACAATAAATAAAATAGAATAAATCATGTTGAAAAAAAGAAATAAAGGAAATATACAGAGAAAGGGAGGAAAACAGAGCAGAGAGTAAGGGCTGAGAGAGGGAGAGGGAGAACTCCTCAGGGTGGTGGGAGCCAGAGTCATGCCTCAGACAGAAGGCGCTGGAGGAGAGAGCTCGGGGAAGCCCTGGGRTAGGGGGTGAGGCAGCCCAGGGGCTCCCAGGCTCTCACCCCAGGCGCTGTGCTTCCTGTAGTCGCAGTACTCCACATCCTGAGGCTTTGGGTAGAAGATGTAGGCGCAGCCACACTCCTTGATCATGCTCTCCTGGAAGCAGGAGTGGATGCACACCTAGAGGAGAGGTGGAATGAGAAGGAATTGCACTGGACCTCCATCCCTCTTCCCACGACCTTCACCCCAAAGTCCCCCTCTCTCACCACCCCACAACTCTGACTGACCACCCGGGGCAGGCCTAGGAAACAGCTTGCCACAGAAAGAGTCTGGGCCTTACCTGCTGCGAGTACTTAGAAGGGTAAAGGTTCTTGACAGGGACATCACTGCCATTCTCAGTGCAGTCACCATAGTTGCCTCCAAGCCTATCCAGGGCTTCCTAGGAACCCAGGCACATCAAGAGGTCAGAGAGAGTGGCCCAGGCTTGTGCCAGGATTCTGTCTTTCCTCAGTTTCCAGGTCATATGGCACGTCTTGCCAGCTCCTCCTATCTGCCTCCCAATCTCGACATGCTCCACAGTCCCCAGATCCCATCCCTCTGAGACCTGATTCAAGGGCACTGGGCCCAGAGCATCCCCTGAGATCCCAAGCATGCCCGGAACCCCCTTTCTGTACTTCTCACCCAAGCTCCACTCCCCAGGATCCACTGCCCAATGCCCTCTCAGCCATTCCCTTCCCCCCTGATTCCTACACCTGAAGATCACCCCACGCTCAAGACCCACCCTATATGATCTTCCATAGTCCCTGGCTGTCCTGTCCACCTCCCCTGTCCTGCCAGCCTCTCTCCAATCTGGGACTCTCTTCCCAAGCTACCAGTTAGCATTCTTGCCTTCCTCATGCTGATGGAGGTCTCCACACCAGGCCGCAGGTTAAAGCCACCATCATCCATGAAAGCCGGCTCATCCTGCCCATGCACCATTACCCTGGCCCCAGTCACCGTGGACAGCAGGGGGATGAAGTCTTTCTGCTCTGTGCGCAATGTCAGGGACAGACCTGGGGGATGCAGCAGGAACAGAGTTGCGGGATAGGTCTTCGAGAAGAGTCAGGGGATGGAAGCCCACCCTCCTACCTTGCCTAGTCACTAATCTCTAAGGAGAGCACATCCAGTTAGACCTGCAAGTGGATTTGGCAACCCTGGGGCTGAATTCTGGGGGCAGGCAGGAAAGGACTGGGACAGGATTCCTCTCATGCCTGGAATGGACTATACAATGCCCTTGGGGGAGAAAGAGAAGAGAAGATTCCTTCCAGAATAGAGACCCAGAAGGTACATGGCATCTCTAGGATGTGGGCCCAAGGTGAGAAGGGCTGGGGCAGAGGTGGGGCATCCAGGTCCTGGGAGTTTCTCACCATTGTTGATTCCTGGCATGGAAGACATCCAGAGGTTGGAATTGTTCTTGTTGTTGAAAGTATAGCAATTCCCATACATTGGGTGGTGGAAGTGAGAGTAATTCCTTAGCAGGAGAGAGAGTAGGGTTAGAGGGGTATGTATAGGAAGCAGGAGAACAGGAAGAGGCAGGGGAGAATCATTCTTTTAAACACCTATAGGAGTTAAGCCTTTCAGAGCTGTCGGGTTTCCAAAACACCCAGTAGGCTGCCCCTCTGTCTCCCTGGGGAGCCTCATTCTCACATCATATAAGAGGAAGCTCAGTCTCAGAGAGGTCAAGTAGCTGCCCAAGGTCACACAGACAGTGATGATGGCCCTGGGATTCAGGCCCAGGACAACTACCTGCTAGCTCAGATCTCTCCCACCAAGCCATCTGACCTCACTTGTCTTGGCTTATACGCTGCCTTGTGACCTCTCCTGTGTTACCGTTGTGCCTTGTGAAGACTCTTACAGTACCCCTAACTTCTCACGTATCTACTTCTTAGTTCCCCATTTCGCGATCATGAGCTCCTTAAAGTTAGAAGCCACATCTCATTCATCTCCATATCATCTTGGTGTTCCTGGCATATAGGAGATAGTTAACAAATAGTTGCTGGGTGAATGAATGAAAGAATGAATGAAATAGAGATGTGGAGAATGAAATAGAGATGTGGAGGGGAACCGGGTTAAAGGAAAGAGTGAGACATGAGGAACATGGTGCTAAGAAGAAGTTCAGAGCCCAGGGGTAAAATGAGGCCAAGTGTTTTTCCAAGGCCTCCTGTACCAGCAATGTCTTAGACTGATAGATCCAAAACTAATCTACAATAGATTTGGGGATCCAGAGAAAGCAATCAGAAGCAATGCTGTTGTAGTAACAATATGATCTGACAGCAAATAACAGGTTTCAAAACCAGGAGGCTGTGTTGGATTGCAGCGAGAGCCCACGTGAGGACAGAGGAAATCTATATTCTACTACCATCCCATCTTAGAGCTGGTGATGGGAGCAGGCGAAGAGGAAGATTAGGCTTTGACCTGTGAGAGGCAGAGGAGAAATGAAGAGAAGCAAGGAGAAGTCTAGTCAGAGGTAAGGAGTGGAGTTCTGCTTGTATGGCCCTAAACAAGTCATTTTTTTCTGAGCTCATTCTCCTTATCTACAAAATGAAGAGATTAGAAGAAGATGATCTGGAATATTCCATTGACCTTAAAAGCCAAAGGCACAGAGGTGTGAAATACCAGAACATATTTTAGGATGTGCTAGGAAGTCAGTATTTCCAAGATGGGTTGGATGCAAAGAGTGACTGAAGAAGAGGCTACAGAAGTGGCCAGTCCTAAAGGGCCATTTGGCCCTGCCTGCTGGGAGAGGGGACAGACACAATGCTGCAGATGTACATCATGGACAGCACGCAGCAGATGGAATCAGCAATGTGGATGGATCTTAAACCCACAGAGCTTAGTTTTTAAAGGCAGGGGATTGAATGAGATATATAATGCCGTGTACATAAATTAAATATGAATTTTGCAAAAACACAAAGAATATACATTAAGCACATTAATATAATGGCCTATGAGAAGTCTTATAATGTGATGGTTAAAAGCACAGAGTCCAGAACTGAATCTCTAAGCTTTAGAAAGTATTAGATAGCACAGTGGCACACACCTGTGATCCCAGTAACCCAGGAGGCCAAGGCAGAAGGATTGCAAGTTCAAGGCCAGCCTCTTCAATTTATCAAGACCCTAAGCAACTTAGTGAGACCCTGTCTTAAAATAAAAAAATAAAGGGCTGGGGAGTGGCTCACAGGTTAAGCACCTATGGGTTCAATCCCTGCTACCAAAAAACTAAATTAATTAATTTAATTAAATAATAAAAGTTTTAAAAGTGGGATGAATTGATGAGGGCCTGGATTCAATTCCCAGTACTACAAAAAAAAAAAAAAAAAAAAAAAGAAGAAGAAGAAGAAGAAGAAAAGACATGATACCAAACAAATTACTTAACTTCTCTGAACCTTAGTTTCCTTATCTGTAAAATCAAGATTTTAAAAACATCTACCTCACAGGTGTGATAAATTACACTTAGAACAGTGCTTAGCACTTAGTAAGAGCTGCATTGGTTTACTATGAAGATTACAGGGATTTATTAAGAGGGCTAAAATGAAAAGACAGACAAATGTAGGATATAGAGAATTGGGAGCATTCCTTCAGTGCTGTTAGGAACGTAAAATAGTATAGCCATTTGACAAAGTCCGGCAGTTCCTCAAAATATTAAATCTAGAGTTACGATATGACACATCAATTCCACTCCTAGATTTATACCAAGAGAAATGAAAACATGCATCCATACAAAGACATGTACAAGAATGTTCATAGCAGTTTCATGTATGATAGCCAAAAAGTGGGAATTACCCAAATGTCTCTCAACTGAAGAATGGATAAAGCTACCTTCTAAATATAATATTATTTGCCCATAAAAAGAAATGAGGTTCAGATACATGCTACAACATAAATGAACTTGAAAACATTACGCTTAAGTGAAAGAAGCCAACTGGTCACAGAAGACTCCATATTGCATGCTTCCCTTTATGTGAAATGTCAACAACAGGCAATTCATAGAAACAGAAAGCAGATCAGTGGTTTGCAGGGCTTAGAGGCGGGGAGTGAGTGGGGAACTGCTGATAAGCACTGGGTTTCTTTTTGGGGTGAGGACAATGTTCTAAAATTAGATAGTAGTGATAGTTGCACAACTCTGAACATACTAAAGGCCACTAAGTTGTACATGTTACTAGGAAGAATTTATGGCACATATGCCATATCTTCAAATACTATTAAAGAAAAATTTAGGGCTACGGATGTATCTCAGCAGTTTAGCACTCACCTAGCATGTGTGACGCCCTGAATTCTATCTCTAGAACCACACATGCAAAAAAAGAAAAAGAAAAGATAATATGTGAAGGAAGTTTTTGTAGATGGGACAGGAGAGGGATAAGAAGGCCACACTAAGGCTGGGGTCATAGCTCAGTGGCAGAGCGCTTCCCTAGCACGTGTGAGGCCTTGGGTTCGAGCCTCAGCAACACATAAAGATAAATAAATAAGGGTATTGTATCCATCTACAACTACAAAAAAAATATTTAGGGGGCTGGGGATATAGCTCAGTAGGTAGAGTGCTTGCCTTGCATGCACAAGGCCCTGGGTTCAATCCCCAGCACCAAAAAAAAAAAAAAAATGTATATATATATATATATATATATATATATATACCAAGAGAAATGAAATATATGAAATATATATATTTTAGGGAAAAAATGTACAGCTAACCTATGTTTTTTAAAAAAAAGAAGACCACAATAAAGGATTCATGATTCTGAAGACCACAAGAGACCAAAGAATTTTAAACAGGACAAACTGGAATAGTTAAGTATAGTGAAATGCAAAAGTACCTCTATGGTTCAAACTCTCCCAGTTCATGTGTTGGAAACTTAATCCCAATGCGTTAGGAAGTTTGGCCTAATAAGTGGTAATTGGGTCGTGAAGACAGAATCCTCATGAATGGATCAAGGTCATCATTGTGGAGGTGGGGCGTGCATTGTTAAAAATCAAGTCTGCCCTTCCTGCTTTCTTTTCACATGAACTCACTTGCCTTTTTTCTCCATGTAATATTATAGAGGCTTTCACCAAGAGCCAGCACCATGCTCTTAGACTTCCCAGCCTCTAGGACTAGAAGAATAAAATTTCTTTTCTTTATAATTGTTCAGGCTGTGGTATTCTGTTACAGCAACAGAAAACAGACTGAGACACTTCCTTTGGTCACAGAATAAAGGGAGGATTTAGAAGCAGAAAAACAAATTAGGGGGTAGTTATAATAATCCAGGTGAGAACTGGGAAGAACTGAACCGAGGAAGTCACTTAAATGCCAAAACAAGGATGAACTATGGACTTTCTGTTGATGGGAGGCACAAGCATTGAGCAGGCAAAGGGAGAGGATGGAAATGAAAACTACAGGTGGGAAAGTGACAGTTAGAGAGGCTTGGTGGCAGGTGCCAGTTGACTTGGGCTTAGCTACCCTACTTCCCAGCTGCTCACTTCTGTCCTCAAACAAACACTAAGACTAGGGACAGGAACCAAGTTGTGTGCTGAACAAAGTATATGTGAGGGGTGAATGGTAGGGGCAGAACCAGGTGACACCTGGCCCTGCTGCCATTCTCCAGCATAGGAGGGAAGGGCCCCCTGTAGAACGGAGATGCTGCCTCAGCACCCTTCCTCAGCCAGGCAGAGACATGGAGATGGCCCCCAAAGCTCAAGGAGCAGAAGCAGGAGGGGAAGGCAGGCGTAGGAGGAGGCCAGAGGCAACAGAATGGAACCCCCTCCACTCCCAGCCTTTCACAGTTCTCAAAGAGACTACAGCAGCCATGACCTCTTTGCAAGGACATCATGACAGGGGTCCCAACATAAAGAATGCTTGAGGGGCAACAGAGTAGGAAGAATCTTCAGCTAATGCCGGCTTCTGACCCAGTTTAAGGACAAGAATATTGAGATCCATCAATCCAGTGGTGTATAAAGTGTCTTGACAAGTGTTACCTTGTGTACTCTGTGTTATCCTCATCATCTTCACTTGAGTACAAGTGCCAAAAAGGCAAGGACTTTTTCTTTTTTTTTCTCTAATGTGCCTCAAGTGCCTAGAACGGTATCTGGCACATAGTCCAGACAGTTAAAAACAAAACAAAACAAAGCAAAACAAACAAATTAAAAAAAAACACGTTGGATGAATGAATTTCATTTTGTGTGTTTTGTTTTGTTTCCATTTCTGTTTTTTTTTTTTTAAAGAGAGAGTGAGAGAGGAGAGAGAGAGAGAGAGAGAGAGAGAGAGAGAGAGAGAGAATTTTTAATATTTATTTTTTAGTTCTCGGCGGACACAACATCTTTGTTGGTATGTGGTGCTGAGGATCGAACCCGGGCCGCACGCATGCCAGGCGAGCGCGCTACTGCTTGAGCCACATCCCCAGCCCCATTGTTTCCATTTCTGAAGAATGATGTGAAATGCTCAGTCACCCAACCAGGAAGTCACAGAACCAGAGTGGGAACTGGGTTTTAGTCTTTCAATCCACCCTATTTCACTACACTTACTACCTCCCAGATCTGTGTGAACTTTAATGCTAGTGAGAAAGAGGCCTTAGAAAGACTGAGAACCATGCTTCTAGTTCTTGATTTCTCAAAGCCAGACCTTGAGCCCCAATCTTCCCAGGGAATCCAGATGAGGCCACTGCACTCAGACCTCGCAGGGCCTCCGGGTGACCTGTGAGGCAGAGGCATGGACCCGAGGCCAGTTCTTCCCCTTTACCCACTGTCAGCATTTCCATATTTAATTATCAAGCATTTTCTGGACCCATGGGCCTCAGGATGACCCAAGGGAGGCCCAGAGAAGAACACCCACCCCAGCAGAACCTACTCACGCCTGGTTGCAGGAGGCCTGGTTGAAGCGGCAGGTGAAGATGAAGTTGCCCAGTGCCTCCTCCTGCAGAGATGGTGAGGTATCTTGTAGCCTGGACAGAATGTTGATGTAGTGGAAGCGGTACCACTCCCTCACCGCATCCACCCCTGATGAGTATGTTTGGTAGAAGCAGTCAGATTTGTTCTGGTTGCACTGGACACAGAGAGCAGAATGTTAGTGGGCCCAAAAGGCCAGCAGCAGGCCAGGGCCGGGGTCAAGGATAAGTTGTCTGGAGTTCTGAGGGCTGATGGACAGGGATGAGGAATAAGAATGCAATAGTGCAGAAAGGGTGGGAAAAGCAGAAGCCAGGAGAGTGGGCCAGGGGAAAATGGATTTAAAGGATGGGTGAGCAGGGAAGAGTCACACATGATTACAGTTCATTTATATACTCCCTGCAGGGGGAAGAGCAAGAACTTCTCCCATTTCACTGGGGGGAAGACTGAGGAAACAAAAGGTATGTATTTTGTTTCGTTTTTCAGACAGAGCTGGGCCTAGAAGACATTTCCTCTAATTTTGCCTTTGATTTTATTTATTTATTTATTTGGAGGGCTGGGGATTGAACCCAGTGTCTCATGCATGCTAAGCAAGTGCTCTACCACTCAGCTACACCCACAGTTAATTTTGTATTTTAAAAATACTTTTAAGTCTCCTGTTTTACTGTCTCTAGTTCTCTGTCTTAAGCAAGTAAAGCCCCAGTTTTCCATTAGACTTGGAAGGTCCCAATTGAGCACCACCATTGAGAACCAGAGATTTTGAAAAGTGCATTTTCCACAATAGATAGGACTTCCTGTGGCTTAAACGCTGGAACATAGGCTCCCAGCGAGGAGACTGCACAAACTGGCTCATAGAAAGGTGTGATTTTATTTTTATTTTACATTTTATTTTTCTCTTTTCTTTCCATTCCATTTCATTCTATTTTGTTTCATTTATTTAATGTGCCCGCAATCAGAAGAGCTAATTCTGATTCGTTCATCTGTAGAGGCGGGTCCGAAAGGGGCGGGGTCTGCTGCGTGGGCGGGGCCAGGGTGGGGCGAGTGGACAGGCGGTGCCCTCCAGCTGCCTTACCAGTTGGAAACCAATCTTCCAGTCTTTCCTGTCCACCTGGGGGTTGTTGTCCCGCATGCTGGAGGTCGCGCCGCGTGCTCTGCGGGCCTTGTGGGGCTGGGGCAGGACCCGCAGGCGCTGCAGTGGGTGCGGCAGAGTGCCCCCGAGATCGCGACGGCCGCGGGGACTGGCCAGGCGCTTGTTGAACTTGTATTTGTACAGGTCAAAGAGCGTCTGCTCTGTGATGTGGTCCAGCTCCTCCAGCTCCGATTTAATTTCATTATACCTGAAAAGGGTTACGGGAAAAGGGTCGAACTGGAGGCGGCCCTACAAGAAGGCCTGGCCTCTCTGGGCCTCAGTTTCCTCATCTGCAACATCTGCAACGGGTGAGGGTCGTCCGCGTGAAGCTTGTGGGTATCGCCCTGTTAACAGGGATCTCTCAAGGGGGCGGGGCGGGGGGCAGTGTAGATAGGTGTGTCTGCGGAGGAAGGCACAGCGAACCTCGGTCAAGGGGACATTGATGGACATCTGTTAGAGCCACAGGCGGGAGGCGCCTGTCTGTGAGGCGTGCTTATCCCACTCCTCCCGGCCTGGAAGGGAACCCGGAACTCATCTGCCTTTTCTCGAGGGTAGTCCTTGGTCCAGACACTCCCTCCAGCCCTCGTTGCTAGTCCCCTAGGGGAGGGTGACCTTTGGGCCAGTGTGTCTGCCACCAGGCACCTTGTAAATCAAAGGTTCTCAACTGCGCTCTTAGAATCTTTCCGAAGAACTCTAAAAATACCAGATGCCACAGCCATTCTTGCCCCTTCCTCCAAAGGCTCAGTTTTATAAATTAAACGTTATTCAGTATAAATCTTCACATTGCTCCTCAATTAAAAGTCCACATAGCTGGGCTTTGGTACTACAATTTACTAAAGCAAGACAGACATCTAGACCTAATAAATAAAGCTAAATGATATGAAACCAATATAGAAAAATTAATTGTATTTCTGCATTCGTCAATGATACACTGAAAAATGAAACCACAAAAACAATTCCATGTTTAAAAACATAACATCCAGGATTAAGTAACAGATGTGCAAGATCCCTATACAGAAACTGTACTGAAATTCCTGCTAAAAAGAAATCAAAGAACAAAATAAATGGAAAGATACAGATGACCAGGGATCAGAAACTCAATGTAGCTCTCAAATTGATGTTTAGAGTCAACACTATCACAAGCAAAATTTCAGCATTTTTAAATAAATCAACAGACTGGTTCTAAGATTTATATGTAAATACAAAGGACCTAGAATGGCCAAAACAACTTTAGAAAAGCAAGGAATATTTATACTACCTAATATTTACTCTAAAGCCACAGTAATCACAAGTGTGGGTGGACTTGAGGTCTCAGACCAGTAATCCCAGTGACTCTGGAGGCCAAGGCAGGAAGGCAGATTGCAAATTCAAGGCTAGCCTAGGCAATTTAGCTAGACTTTGTCTCAAAACAAAAAAATAAAAAGGGCTAGAGATGTGGCTCAGTGATAAAATGCCCCTGGGTTCAATCCCCAGTACCCACTCCCCAAACACACACACACACACACACACACACACACACACACACACACACACAAAGAAGCTCAGAAATAAACTCACACAAATAATATGGTCAACTGACCAAAACTCTGAGTGAATTCAGTGGGAAGTATTTTTAACAAATTAATTACTTGAGGGGCTGGGGATGTGGCTCAAGYGGTAGCGCGCTCGCCTGGCATGCGTGCGGCCCGGGTTCGATCCTCAGCACCACATACCAACAAAGATGTTGTGTCCGCCGAGAATTAAAAAAAATAAATATATATAAAAAAAATTAATTACTTGTGCTGAAACAGCAGGATACTGTACAGACAAAATGATTTCTACTTATCTTATACACAAAAATTAAAGATGAATCATATAACAAAATATAAAATTCAGAACCATTAAAATGGAAGATATCTTCATGAGCTTCAGGTAGGTAAAAATTTCTTGTAAATTAGAAAACAAACAAACAAATAATTTCTATAACAATTTTTTGAGACAGACACATTTATGAACAGATCTTCATTTTTAGATATCTATCTGGAATCTGGTCATTATACATTGTTGGTGAGAACGTAAAATGGTACAACCACTTTGGAAAATAATCTGTAAGTTTCTCAAAAGGCTAAACATAGAGTTACCATACAATCTATCAATTCCACTCCTAAGAAAAATAACATAGACTCACACATAAAACTGTGCATAAATGTTTATAGTAGTACTACTTGCTCATAATAGCCAAAAAGTAGAAATAATCCAATATCCATTAGTTGATGAAAGTATAAATAAATGATATATCCACACATTGGAATATTTTTATTCAACAATAAAAAGAAATTAAGTATGTATGCATGCTACAACATGGATGAACTGTGAAACTATTACACTAAATGAAAGAAGCTACACACAAAAGACCACATATACTATGGCTGAGTTAACATGAAATGTTCAGAATAGGCAAATCCATAGAGATAGAAAATACATTAATGATTGACCAAGGCTGGGGGTTAAGGGAATGGGGAAAAGGGAATAGGATTTCCTTTTAGGATGATGAAAATGTTCTAAAATTAACAATGGTGATAATTGCACAATTCTGTGAAAATAATAAAAATCATTGAATTATACACGTTAAGTGAATAAATTATGATATGGTGATGTGAATTGTACTTCAATTAAGCTGTCCTTTAAAGAAAAAAGAAAAGAAAAAGATATCTAAGGAAGAGTGTCTTGGTATTTAAAGACCTCTTACAAATCAACAATAGAATAATTTATATATTGTGAAAAAAAATACATTTTTTAAAAAATGAGCAAAAAGAGATGCACTAAACACATGAAAAAGTACTCAACATAGTCCTCAGGAAATTGCAATTAAAACCATAATGAGGAGGCTGGGGACATAGCTCAGTGGTTGAGTGTTTGCATGCATGAGGGTTCCATCTCCAATATCAAAATAAAAAAGAGACTGGGGGGGTTGGGGGCGCTGGGGTTGGGGCTCAAAGGTAGAGCGCTCGCCTAGCATGCATGAGGCACTGGGTTCGATCCTCAGCACCACATAAAAAAAATAAAATAAAGATATTGTGTCCACCTATAACTAAAAAATAAATATTTTTTTAAAAAAGAGGTACCATTTAACATCTAGTAGGAGAGCTAAAACTAAAAACATCAACAGCTCCAAATGTTAGTAAGAATGGAAAGCAACTAGAATTCTCCTAGACTGCTGATGGGAGTATAAAATGGTACAATCTCTTTGAAGGACTGATTGGCAGTTTTTTATAAAGAGTTAAACATGACCTTATGGCATTATGACCCAGCAATTTCACTTCTAGATATTTTACCAGTTCCACTCCTGGCTATTACCCAAATGCAAGGAAAACATAAAAACCTACACATGAACATTCATAGAAGTTTTATTCACAATAACCAAAAAAATTTGGAAAAACCCAAATGTTCATCAAAACCACTCGACAGTTAAAAAGATCTGAGATACACACACACACACACACACACACACACACACACAACACACAACTTGCCAACCTGGACAACTTAGTGAAATTCTATCTCAAAAAAATAAATAAAAAGGGCTGGGGATGTGGTTCAGTGATAGAGTGTCTCTAAATTCAATCCCCAGTACCACTGATAAATAAATAAGCAAACAAACAAATATAAGAACCCCCACATGTCCTAATGTGCAGCTACATCAACCACAGTCTAATCTAGATCCTCACATCCTCCTCCACTTGGCCCTACAAGTCTAGCTGGCTGGACATTTATCCCCTCATAGCCTCATAGGAAAAAATGTAACTCAGGTGGAAGGAGTGTGTTTGGCCTTCTGAGATGCTTATTTGATATTGGCAATTAAATGGATGATAATAATAGCCATCATTATTGAGCATTCACTAGGAACCAAGCAAGCATTGTGGCACTAGAATGTGCATTATTTACTCTTCAGTGTGACTCAGTAGCTACTCTTAGCTGACATTATTGTCATTCCCTTTTTGTGGTGAACAATCTGAGACAGGGCTGGGGATGTAGCTTAGTGGTAGAGCTACTGCCTAGCATGAATAAGGCCCTGGGTTTTATACCCAGCATTGCAGAAAATAAAAAAAATTAAAAAAAAAAAAAAGCTGAGCGTGGTGGTGCATGCCTATAATCCCAGCAGCTCAGGAGACTGAGGCAGCAAGATTGAGAGTTCAAAGCCAGCCTCAGCAAAAGTGAGGTACTAAGCAACTCAGTGAGACCCTGTCTCTAAATAAAATATAAAACAGGGCTGGGGATGTGGCTCAGTGGTTGAGTGCCCCTGAGTTCAATCCCGGGTATGCCCCCCACCCCATCCCAAAAAAACCCTAAGACATGGTGATTTGTTCAAGACAGCACAGCTAGGAAATGGGTTAAATAGAGCTCTACCCATCACATTGTCCTTCATTCTGTCCCCATAAGAGCCAGAGTCAACTGAATGTGAGTCCTATTGTCCCAGGTGCATACCTTTTAGCTATGAGATGTTGGGTAAGTAACCCAACTTTTCTGAATCCCAATCTCAGTTCTTCATGTGTAAAATGTGTAGAACACTAAAGCTTCATATGAAGCTCTTGAAAAGAGTTAAATAAGAAAATATTCAAAGCAAAAAAGACCATCAACTATCAGGAAGACAGACAGGAGTCCAAAGCCCAGGAAAGTGAAGTGTCTTTTTCAAAGTCATACAGGAAGAACCCAGGTCTTCCAGCTTGGCTGGAGTTATTGTCATGACACCATCTATGCCCCTGTGCTGCCTCGTATACCTCCCTCTCACTCACCACCAACTCCAAGCTGTCACTCTTCCCCATAGAGCACCCTCTATCCCTATACCAGGCTTTCCCCTTCATGCTGTTCATCATATCTGGTCCCTCCAGCCTCTTCCAGAGGGAATGCTGAGGAGCACACACCCTAACACTGCCTGGTCTTCCAGCCCTTGACCATCCTCCCCCCAAACCCATGACAAGGCCTCTAGAAGAGGCTGGACTCCACACAGAGCTCCCTTATGTCACTTCCCTCTTTGTTTTCCACTTAAGACAGGAATGACCTCTCTCCCTAACTTCCTGACATTAGAATTCCTCTAACAGGAGGCAGAGCCTGGAAGTTGACACCTACAGCCAAAAGAAACAGAAAAATACACCAAAGCTGGGCACGAGAAACACACAAGCCCCCTGACTCACCAGTGTGTACCTGGGGACCCAGCCCCACTCTGCTTCC